CAGGGCGCGGTAGCTCTCGGAGGCGGTGACACGGACCTGCCCGGCGTGTGCTGTCCCCTCGATGACGCCTTTCCACACAGCTGCCACACTCCTGTGGGCACAGGGTTAACACAGGGCCAGGCACTCTCTGCCATGTGACACCTTCTGGGGATGCCCAGCAGGACTGCCAGCACCCCCAGTCACAGCAGACTGGGACTGGGGACATCCCACCCACAGCTGTGTCCCGGTAACAGCCAAATCCGGGTTGGCATTAAGCATCTCCAAGTTGGGATCATCATGGGCAGGTATGGCAAGCCGCAGCTGCTTGTCCCCAGCCCTGTCTCTGCCCCCAGCCCACCTGGAGTCGCCAGCATCGCCACGGCCCCGATGCCAGTCTCTCTTCACGAACTGGCTGGCCAGCCTCTGCAGAGCCTGCAGACAGACCCGGCATCACCAGCACTGCCTGACCCTGCCCAGCAGCCCAGCACCCACCAACCCACCCTGGGTCCAAAGCTGGGCTCCCCACGCTGGGCGCAAAGCTGGCCCACCCCATGGACCTGGGGACACACATGTGTCCCCTCAGAGCACAGACACATCCCCGTGGCTCAGTGTCAGCAGGAATCCCATTGTGCTCCCCAAAACCTTTTTGGCGGGCAGCCACCACAATGAAAGGACCCCCCCACTGTGGTTTTTGGGACAGAGTCCCTGCAAGGGGGCATCAGCGAGGGACACTGGCTACAGAGACAGAGTAGAGGAGCCCCAGCAAAGCCAAGCACAGCAAGACCCCAGCCCTGGGGGATGGATGATCACCCCCAGCCTGGGGGTGTGAGGGAGGGCAGTGACACGGCGGTGACCAGCTGCAGGAAAGGGGGACACAGTTCTGCTGCAGTCCCCAAGGGATGCTGCAGGGACATCTCACATCAAAACCAAACTGACATTTCAGAGCAGCGCCCTGCGATGACCCAGCAGACAGCAGAGCCCAGCGGTTTCCTCCCCCACAAGGTCTTCCCTCCAGGCTCCCAGAACACCCAAGGTTCGGGCCACGCCGTGCTCAGCAGAGCCCCCAGCGGGTGCTGGACGTGGTCAGGGTGCTCCCGGCAGGATGAGCCATCTGCCACCACCCTGCGGGGCCAGCACGGAGCAGCCACGCTCGGGTGATTCCTGAAGCTGCCCTCTGCCTGCATGGGGCCTGCCCAGCTCCTGCCCTCATCCAGGCCGGCAGGATGGGGCCTGGGCCCCCCCGGGACATTGATCCCAAATCCCGACGTGGCACCTCCTTACCTGCCCATACTCCCTGTCAATGGTGGCCCTCTGCTTGCTGTAGGACCTGGGGGGACACAGGGAGGACACACAGAGAGGGGCAGGCATGGGCCACCCCTCCCTGCACCTGCTGCCACCATCCACCTCTTACCATGTCCCCCTGCCACCATCCTGTCCCCATCAGGCCACCCCAGTGGGTGATGGAGCCCATGACCTCAAGGTGACAGGCTCAAGGTGAGCCGTGCCCGGTGCCTGGCACACCCGGGCCGGGTCTCAGCCTGGGGACACACACACACAGAGAGACACACAGACACAGACACACAGACAGAGACACAGACACATGCAGACATGGGATGAGATGCCCGGTGTCAGCTTGGGGACACACACAGGCACGGGATGAGCTGTTTCATCTCAGCCTGGGGACATACACACACAGGATGAGCTGCCCGGTCTCAGCTTGGGGACACAGACACANCACTCGGCTCACCTGGGGACACCACACATTGTCACAGTGCCCAGGACACCTCTGGCAGTGTCCCAACCCCATCACCCCCATCCCTGAGCGTGGTGGCATCCCCAGAACCACACCCCAAGTGCAGCATCCCAGCCACCACCCTTCCCTGTCCCTACCTCCCCCACCCTGGGGGTGACACACAAATGTCACCCCAAGTTCCCTGACTCACGGTCCCACCTCTGCCTTGCGGATGTTCTCCCTCACTTCCTCCATCTGCCGCTCCACGGCTGCCACCTCCGCCTCCAGCCCCTGCTGGCGCCTGGCCTCCAGCCGCTGCAGCACCTGGGCAGGCATCCACAGCTCAGAGGGTGTGGCAGCCGGTGAGGGGCTGCAAAAGCCCCTCCCTGAGCCCCCCAGTGCCCCGTGGGGCAGGACAACACCCACCTCCTCACTGTGTGCCCTGTTCTTGTGCTCACGGGCCACCCGCGTGGCCCAGCGCCGCGCCTCCTTCTCCAGGCTGGCCCCATCGTCTGCTGGTGGCAGCAGGCACACCTGGGCAAGGACAGAGTGGTGACAAGGGGGTGGCAGTGCAGACCCCACCTTGCTGTAATGATCCTATCCACTTACCTCCTCCATCCCTGTGAGCTGGAAGCGCTGCTCGGGCGCCAGGGAGAAGGCGGGGTGGTCCTGCAGGAAGAGGAGCAGGTCCTGCTCCCGGCACACCTGCAGCAGGGGAGTGGTGTGGGGCTGGGGGCTCACCTGTGCCCTCATGTCCCACCCAGCTCAGGGCACACAGTGCCGTTACCCGTGCAGATGCCTCCACAACACCCTGGAACCAGTCCCGGGTGGCCCGGCAGGTCTCCACCTCCGTCCTGCTGGCAGCTGACAAGTGCTCCCGGAGCCTCTCATAAAGGTCCCCATCCAGAGCCTGGGGGAAAGCAGAGGGAACCCCCCCAGCACTGCCACATCCCCCCACTGGAGCATCCCTGATGCCCAGGGCAGCCAGTCCTGACCCTGTGCCAGCAGGACCCTCCGTGCTGGCAGTGGGGAGAGGCTCCTTGTGGGACGCTGGGGAAGGGGCACGGGGGGTCTGGGCATCCCCTACCTGCATGGCTGCGGGCAGCTCCACACGCTGGTAATGCTCCAGGTGGGCAGAGGCAGCCACCAGGGCAAAGCTGTACTCATTCTGCACCCCTGCCAGCTGCCTTGAGTGCTCGGCCAGTCGTGCTGAGAACTGCAGGGACGTGGGCAGCGAGGCTTGGCCATGGTGCCCCGTGTCCCCA